AATAAATAAATAAAATCTTTAAAAAAAAAAAAAAAAAAAAAGAAAGTACCATCTGAAAAAGGAAAGCTCCCCAAACAGCAGGGACTAGGGGCTTGAAGGAGCATCCTAGTTGTGGCTGGAGAATCCTGGAGGATATTTGATAGTCCAGTGGTTTGGGTGAGATTACGATAGCCCATGTTGCCATTTTAGAAATCGAGATTGGCTCTTTGAATAATGGGAGTCTTTCCAAGAGTAGTTGCTTCCCTGGAAAAATTCTAATTGCTACAAATACTGAGTATTTGTAGTTGATTTTTTGAGAGAAAAATGTAACAAGGTCATAATTAAGTTGCATTTTATCAGAATTGTATAATAGTAGATTCTGGAAGTACTCCTTCCTTTCTCCATGCCCAGCAGAGAAAAATAAATAGTAATAGCTTTTGGTTTCACTTTAAATTTAACCTTGTTATATGCTTTATTTATAAAAATTAGTGTAAGTGGGAAGAAATTCCACCCTTTCACCACTAATTTTATTATTTTCCCCCTAATTGTCTTGGCATACTTTTTTATGAGTGTGCATTTTATTAAGTGTTGAGAATGTTTCTGTAGGTGATCAACTTCTTCATAATAGGAGTTTATGTAGTAAAAGTTACAGTTTTCATCATTGCCTCATGGCATTTTGGAGTTAGAAGAAGTTCTGGAGTTCACCTGGTGCAATTTTTCACCTAATGCAGGATTTCTTTTATTATGTCCTTTGCAGGAAAAACACACAAACAAACAAAACACAAAGCCTCTGCTTGAATATAAGTGGAGTGAAGAGTTTAGAGTTTCTCAAGGCAGATCATTCCATTTCTTCTAATCCTTGGAAATTCTCTAATTCTTAGAAAGGTCTCCCTTATCATCTACTTTCTTAAGAGTTTTATAATCACTAGTGCCATTTCTGCCCTCTGCATATTAAATAAGTATAATTTTGCTCCTATCTGATGACCGTTTATGTATGTCAAGATTGATATGCCTTCTTTTCCTGTCCTTTTAACATTATATTTAAGACTCAAGAAATACCTGTAGCTTCCCCAAAGTGACATTAGTTTTCTGGACCTTCTTACTCTCATCTACAGCTATAGCGACCTGTAAATCATTTAAATGTACATTTTTGCATCAGCTTGTCATTATTTTATTCAAATTTGGGAAAAGCAGAGAGTTGGACATTTATTTTTACTGAAATGTTAAATTGTCCACTTAAAATGAATGGGGTTGGGAGATTACTACATCAGCGCCAGAATCTACCCGCTGTTAAACAAGCATGCACACTCCAGAAGAACTTAGTTACATGGCATCACGGCTTAATTGAGTTAGGGTTGCAATCACGTTTTTTTCCTAAATTCTAAATTTAACTTCATATCAGGCAAACATTTAAAAAAGCATTATCTAAACATATTTAGCCACCACAATTAGTTATAACCTAGCCTTATTTTCAGTGAATGCTCAAGAACTGTGGGTTTAGGTTTGGAGTTTGCAGTTTTCCTCTGCTTTCGCCCATAGGGACAAATCGTGCTGACATTTTCTCACACTTTTTTTCCACAACTAAGCAAGATGCTAACAAAATTGAAATTTCCATGTCCCCCACTATGCCTTGGCTGAAAATTTAGGTCATCCAGGACAGCGTGTGAATTATTTTAGGGCACCGTTTACTGTGTACAGCACTCGCCTGACCTAGACACCGGAGTCTGAGTCAAGACATCTTTTTTCATTGTGTGTATTCTGGATGACTGATGTTGCACAGACAGGAGGTTAGGGTTTAGGCCCGGGGAATCATCTGAGTAAGAGTAATGGAAAATTGCTTTTAAAGAGTCAGGTAACAAAAGGTGTAAGCAACTTCTGATTTGCAATGCTTTATTTCTTTTGAATGTCATTTCTTTCTTTCCCGAAATACAGGATGAGGCATGACACGACCAAATCACAGACTCATTGTTGGGTATTTTCTGTGTAACATACGCTTTGTTTTTGTTTTTCTCCAAAGGCGTTTAAACAGAAATCACCTTCAGCTGTTTCCTGAGTTGCTGTTTCTTGGGACTTCGAAGCTGTACAGGCTGTAAGTAAGACAGAAATAGTTATTGTTGCTTTGTGTAGTACCTTGTATTTTATTAAATGTATTTTGGATCTGTTTCCTTGGGCTTTCCTGGAATCTATTTACCGATAGATTAATGGATTAAAAGTTTGCCTTTTTTTTGTCTTATGGAAATTTATGATTGGTTTTCCAGTGGTTCCCGTTGTTTTATTTGGTTAGCATTTAGTGGTTTATGTATGCGTCGTTGTAATTGTATTATTCTTTCTGGGTTATGTGATAATGAGGAGATTTACCTTATTTCTTTATGGAAACTTCTGATTAAGTTCTGAAGGGGAAAATTGCCACTGTACTTCCTCTTCAGAGGAAGTGTGGCGGTGTTTTCTTGTAAAGTTAGGGTTCTTAATGTCAGCTTTCTTGTCATTGTTTCTGTACTGGGGTGGTGTTTATTAGTCTGGAAATATTATTATAAGGTATTTAAAGAGGGCTGTAAATTTCCTCTTAAATGTTCCCTTTAAAGCCAGAGTTCCAAACTCTGCAATAGGAGTGACTGTAAAGGTTTCCCAACAAATACTTCCTAGACTGTTAACGGAAATACTTCTTTGGAAGGAGCATAACATGAGTTTTAGGCAAAATTAGTTTTTCCTCCCTGGAATGCTTGTTCTCTGACCTAATATGTAATAGTGGAAACACATTTTCAAAAGCTTTTAAAATGAGATTTTCCACCATATGAATGATTTTGTGCAGATGGGAGATAAGCTACAAAGTGTTGGAAAAATAAATAACAATGATTATTGACGTTCATGGACGTTGTGACAAAACTGTTGGGATATACAGAATAAAGTGCTCAGCATGGCTCCCACTGGGATGATGGGGATGTCCCGTAGCTTTGTGTTTGTAGGGAAAGTGAGCATGTTGCTTTTTTCCAGATTTGGCTTCATCGTAGCCTGTTAGTTCAATATTGTTGTTATCAGTTCCAGAAGGAGGAGGACTGTCCTCTCAGAGCCCTCCCTGCCTTGTGGCCAGGATCTTTGTTAGGTCCTCCTGATGCCTTAGCTCACTATAGACAGAACTGTCCCAGTGGGCAAATGTGCAGCCAGCTAACACACGCCGTCTCCTCTCTAGAGTTTGACCTTCTTGGTATTGTTCCTCTAAGGATAGCCAAAGTCACCTGGCAGGATTTCTCCTTCTTGTGCTCCCTGCTGGTTAACTGGCTCAATTTAAGTAAATTAAAAAAAAAAAATCAAAGAAGAAACTTGAAGATTGACTTTAAGTAAGAATTCCGTAAGGACTATTTTGCCCAAGGAAATAGGATCTAGGCTATTATAAAGATTATATATATGTATGTAAGTTGACACTTATATTTAAATATTTCTGCCTAGTTTCCAAGAAGGGCCACAGAGATGGTTTTAAGAGTCATTCTACTTTGTGCTTTAAGTTTTTGTGATTGAGGAGACTGAAGCCTGTTGTACAATGAGGCATATGAAACTACCACTTTGCTGAGTGTCCATATAAAAGCAATCCACACCAGTCTAGGTAATTTTACATTTTCTATGTAGCTACGAAAATATAACTTAAATGAATGACTGTCATCTACAATTAAAAGTATTAAGCTAAAGAAGGGAAAATTCTACACTGTCTCTGAGGAACAAGAATATGTGGTTTTTAGTCTAGAAGTACTTGGATTAATTTTCTTTTTTTTTTTTAAAGATTTTTATTTATTTATTTGAGAGAGAGAGAGAGCACATGAGAGGGGGGAGGGTCGGGAGGGTCAGAGGGAGAAGCAGACTCCCTGCCGAGCAGGGAGCCCGATGCTGGACTCGATCCAGGGACTCCAGGATCATGACCTGAGCCGAAGGCAGTCGCTTAACCAACTGAGCCACCCAGGCGCCCTTGGATTAATTTTCTTAGGAGGCTTCAAGTGGTGTAATCCAGTGCAGAATTCTCTTATCAGCAAATTATATTCTGTTGATCATTTTTTCCTCTTGGACAATATCACATAGTGGACCAACAGATTTCGTCTTTTATGTTGTTGTGATTTTGTAACTTTAGGAAGCCACTGTATGAAGAGAGAACTGACATCTTCAAGAAGTAAATTATAGAAATAGAACCCATAAAACTCTCAGGCAGTATTTTCTAGTTAATTAAAAGCATGTAAAAAAATGGGAAAATGGGCAGCTAGAAAATGCATTCAGAGTTATGATTTACCTGTTTGGCTCAAATGATTTCCTCTGGGTAGTTTTGGAAGATAAAGTTTTATTTCTTAGGGTTAGTGGCAAGAGGGACTCGAATGCTTTGATGTTCCCAAAGTTACAGATTGATGGCTTAATGTTTAATATTGACTGGGAATTAACACCTGACATAAGCACTAAATACATGTGAAACATAGTGGTGTAATTTTTTTCTGCATCCTCACGTCAGGAATCTTCTTTTGAGTTGAGGCACTGTTGTCCCACCTGAATTAGATTTAGTGAATTGTTACCAATGATACTTCTCTTGAGAGGATAAGTTATAAACTACATGTGACCACTTTTTTATGATTAATTGGATTAATTAATTGGATTAAAAAAACACCATTAAATGTGTTTAATAAATAAAGGAACAAAAGCTTGTGAGCCTAATTGCCTGGCCAGTGTAATTTCCAAGAGGAAGGATTCAAGTTAAGATTTTTCTTCATGTGATATAGGTGCCTAGTAGTTCACCCGAAACAAATGTTCTAACAGATGGAAAAATGTGCATAAATCTACAAACAAAAATGTCCTCTAAAATGTTCATTGAAAAATGAATCTTTCTGGGATGGCTGGGTGGCTCAGTCAGTTAAGCGGCTGCCTTCGGCTTGGGTCATGACTTGGGTCCTGGGATCAAGTCCCGCATCAGGCTTCTTGCTCAGTGGGAAGTCTGCTTCTCCCTCTGCCTGCCACTCCCCCTGCTTGTGCTCTCTCTCTCTCTGACAAATAAATAAATAAAATCTTTAAAAAAAATTTAAAAAAGGAAAAATGAATCTTTCTTTCACAAGAAGGATAAGTGACAGAACAAAGGACTTCTGATAAATAATAAAGAAAATATGTCGGGGCAGGGAAGGTATTTGGCTGGTTGTTGCATATACAAATTAAGCAATCCATAATTGCCCTGCTAGATAATTTAGTAGAGACAGATACATCTAGAATTCGTCAAAGAAACGAATTTATAATTTATTTTCTCAGTTGTTGCATAATTCTCATTAGTATCTCTGTTTCTTTTTCTAACTTACTGTACCAGTTAATATTTTAACCTTATTTAATACTTGTTATCCTAGTATATAACTAGTGAAGAAGTTTACTAGATTATTTAATGGGTAGCTCATACTATACTGATGTCTGATTTTTATCATTATTTACTTAGATTAAAACTAGTCCGATGTACTGGACATTATGCAGATTTTCTTTGCACTTTTTAACAAATAATCACCATTTGACTCCTGGCTGAAAATGAGATGCCGGGCGAAGAAGCACACATGCTTTTTTTGGACTCTAAATGCAATATAAAAGAAAAAGAGGGTACGCTGTATATGAATTATGATTTGACACGGTTGATTGCTGCTAGCGGCCAAATATGCTTTTCCTTTGCTGTCTGCTCCAATTTCTCTTTGGGCGGGTTGAGAAAGCACTACATGTTCAGGTCAAGATGTTTGCTCAGAAATAGTAGTACAGTTGCAGCTGTGTTTGTTGGAGCAGGAGACTAGTTTAAATAGCATTACCATTTATCCAGTCCATTAACAGAACTCTGTAAAATAATACCAACTCTGCATAAACTACAGGACAGTGTAATAAAATTACAAGCACTTGTTGACAGATGGAAAGTGTAAGTAAAGGGAAAGTAAAGGGCTATAGGTTGGAGGTTAAAAGAGACAGCACACAGTTTCCTTAACTTATGTAGAAACGCCATTCTCCCTTTTGCTCCTCCTCCAAAACCGGCATTGCATTTTTATTATCAATTTAAGAGTGGAGAAGATTATTTTTGGAACAATCTGGAGCTGGTTAACTGTCTGAGATTTTAGTGACTTTCGAAACGGGCAATCGTGATTGATTGAAATTTATGAGTGGCAATTATATATATAAGTAGCATAAACAAATCTTCCTGATAAATGTAACCTTAAAGTGATTTACCAGTGAGTGATTCACACTTTTTAACTTGAGTTTGCAGCTACCAATCCAGGCTCGTTAGAGAGGAATTTCATTGGTACTACTGCGGTCGAACATTTGGTTATAAATATTTGTTTTGTGGTTTTCAGTTTATTTCTTTGAGTATCATTATATTTACCCAGACTTCTAACATAAGTTTAAGTATCCAAGGCGTATTGCAGAAACTCGTTTTTCACTTGTATCTACTGAAACGAAACAAAACTAACAAATGAAATTAAATGCATGAGTCCCAGTGATCCATTTTCTCTACTTCTTTGAATGAAACCTTTTTATTTCTGGTTCACAAGTGGCATTTATTATTCCCCAGTGAGCTTTGGAACCTCTAAATTATCTAACATTATAAATAGTATTTTTAAACTCAAGGACTCTTTTTAGGGCCTAGTGACTACTTACCTGAGACAAATAGATTTTGACCACTTAATTTGATTGGTCAGGTCACAGTCGTTGTCAGATGAGATCTCAGATGCTCAAAATTGTTTCTGATAATAATAATCGTGCCTTTTTTTTTTAGAAGAGAAATTTTTGTTTTATTATGGTAAAAATGCATTTGTGAAGTAGAACAAATACACAGTGAGGCTGTCTTTATTTGCCTTTCGTCTCGTCCCATAGAAGGAGCTTTAGTGTTTATTTTTGGTTTTTTAATAGTTATGAGAGTAACGTATCCTCATATTAAAAAGGTTTGGATTCAGAAAAATAGAAAAGAGGAAGCAGAAATTATTCATTATCCCGCCATCCAGACATAACCACTAGTAAACTTGTCGGTTATTATTAACCTAGTTTTCTTTTTCTATGATTATGCGTGTAAATGCTGACATACATTTATTATGAAAACATGTTTTGTTTTGT